TTTTCAGCCCTGTCACAAGTCCACAGTGACCTCTCCCTTTCCTGAACTTGATAGTACTCACCAATGCAACACCAAATAACATGCAACTGAGCGCTTATTAAGGGTTCAAGTGTCTTTCTTTCGTCTGCCAACAAGGCTGTAAGCTAACAGAGGGCAACCTTATGTTTCCTATTCCTGTTGTTTCCTCCCTACTGCCTAGACTAATCATAAGCCATCTGCTGGTGTTTGGCACTGGATGTGTCAGCACAGGCCCAGCAAGTGGAGTCCTAACGGCAGTAACCTAAGAAGCCTCCAGCCTTGCCCGGCTGTGCTGGTCACACGCCAGAGCTGATGAGTCTGAGATTTGGCCTTGCAACCACGGGAGAGTCCTCCAACCTTCCCAACACGTCAAGTTCCCAAGTTTCTGTCCCCTCTGCTTGCTGAAGCTGAGTCATGCAAATGGCAACAAAGACAACCCTTGAAAGGCAAGAGTGTGCCTGATGTCAACAGTTCATATGGGGCTCCCCTATGCTTAATGGACACCCAGAGACCTCACAAAACCTCAACTTCTGTTACCATCGCTTACTCCAGAGCATGGTGAAATGTACCTCCTTGAATACTGAAACCTTCTATTTTGCTTTCCTGAACTCTTGGTATTACTGGGACAACATTACACCATCAATTTCAGAGGTTTCTTTCAACACGTTCCAGCTACCCGGGAGGGTGAGGTGAGAGAATTGTTTGAGCCCAGTTCCAGCCACATGGGAGGGTGAGATGAGAGATTGTTTGAGCCCAGAAGTCTGAGGTTACAGTGTGCTGTGGTCATGCCACTGCACTCTAGCCTGGGCAACAGCGTGAGGCCCTCCGAGTTAACAATGAGTTAACATAAATATTTGTTGGATGGATGAATAAATGAATGAATGAATATGGGATTGCTCAGATCAGTCAGACCCGTGGAGAACCTTAACATCGGTCAGTGCTAACAATGTGGTTATAAAAACCAGGCCAAGCAGTCACAAGATCAAAAGCCCATGGTGGTGGAAATTTGAAGTGACTCAGTCAGTGGGCACGAAGAGAGGCAAAGTGTCGGGGCACCAGGTATGAAACACCAGCCATAGAGGGTGCTTGACAATGGAGAAAACACCATCGCCCATGAGAAACCTCTTGTGTCGGGAGGTACAATCATCCAGAAGAAAATGCTTATTTTATAAAGTCAGTAGGCCTAATTTGGAAGCCCAAATCTACCATGTAGTAGCCTTGGTTTATTAAATATCAGGTATTTTTTAGCCTATAAAATAAAGGTATTATCACCAGAATTTGCATGAGTATTAAAGTTACTAATGATTGCTATCATGTGTTAAGTACTTAATATATAGCAGGTGAAGTCCTTCACATGCACTTCATTTGGACATCAGAACAACCCTCTAAAGTCAGCACTATTATTATAACTCCCATTTTACAGAAAAGAAACTTAAAGGGTAAAGTTGAGATGAGGTGCAAGAGATGAAGTTACTTGCCCAAAGTTGCCATCCAGTAAATGGCAGATCTAGGATTAGCAATAAGAAGTCTTTTCGAGAGTCGTTGCTCTTGTGTATATCTTGTTCTTTCATCTCTAATGAAGAGTTTTTAAGGATAGGGATGTATGTTTTACTGACTTTATATTCAACTCTAAAGCCTCTAAAACATGCCTCAAAAAAATGCTAAAGAAGGGAAGGAAGAAACTGTTTTTTTTTTTGTTTTTGTCTTTGTTTTTGTTTTTTTGAGATGGAGTTTCACTCTTGTTGCCCAGGCTGGAGCGCAGTGGTGCAATCTTGGCTCACTGCAACCTCTGCCTCCCGGGTTCAAGTGATTCTCCTGCCTTGGCCTCCCAAATAGCTGGAATTACAGGCATGCACCCCCAGGCCTAGCTAATTTTCTATTTTTAGTAGAGATGGGGCTTCTCCATATTGGTCAGGCTGGTCTCGAACTCCTGACCTCAGGTGATCCACCTGAGAAATTTGTTTTAAAAAAAGGAGCCAAGGGCACAAAATCTTTAGGGAAATAATAAAAATTTGGAATATATAAAATATGAGATTTTTTACATGCAACTTCACCAGAAGAATAAACAAATTATTCTTCACAGTCCTTTCTAGACATGTGACACTGAATACTAAAAACAGCTTAAATATTCAAGCTGTTGACCTTGTTTGTGTCTGAAATTATGTGTGATCTATCTGTTCATTAGTTGCTTGTCATCATGGGCTCACTATCATGCCACACTCTGCCCCTTAATTGCAGTGGAAAGATGAATGAATCTGTGATGAGTGAAAAGATTTTCATCAGCTAGAAGATTTTTTTTCCCCCACATTAATGATGTTGCCAGGACTTTACTAGTTGGTTCTTATCTGTTCCCATCAAGGTCATAACTGCTCTGTGATGACCTGTGTGGTTAGGAACTTGTTGATCACCTGCTGGGGGATAAAGGTCACACAAAATCAGGTGAGGAGAAGACCCTTCTCAACCCAACGTAAGGCCAAGAAGACTTCTCCCAAGTCAAAAATTGGATATTTCCAAAAGTTGAATAGTGAATTCTTGTGTAAAGTATAGCCAGATTTACCACTGTGCCCTTCAGTGGAAATACTCCTTTCCCAGGTTAGATCATGTGTCCTCCTGAAAATTTACTTCCGATTCCAGCTATACCTCAAAAGTTGTGCACTCAAACCAAGGGTGGCCAACTCTTTTAAAAACCTGTTAACGTAAAACCTCTTTAGTTGGAGCACATGCTATCTGGTTCACTCCATCTCTATTCCAGCTGCCTAACAGGATGCATTGCCACCTGACTCTTGTAGGCTTTTGCTACGGGAAAAAATCAGTGAAAGCACAGGCCCAAGACCTGGACCTTGAGGGGTGTCCCAAATGGACAGAGATAGCACAGGCAGGTTTACTCCCTAGATCTGAGACAGAGAAATAGCAGCTTTAGAGATGGAAGGAGAAAATGTGGTCCCAGAACCCAGTGGTGCTAAATGCAATGGAACCATTATCAAGACTGAGGGCAAGAGAAGTTTGATAGGAGAAGGTTCAGGAGTCCTCTAGAAGGTGAAGGACATAGTGAGAGCACGGACTATATTTGGAAGAAGTTTAGGAGTCCATAGATGAAAAAGAATGAATAGGAGCTTAAGGGAAGCAGAATTGGTTAACAAAGAGGTGACATGGGAATGTTCACAGGTTAAGAAGGAGTGGTGGAGGAAAAGACCTTTAAGGTGACCAGCTGTCCTAGTTTGCTCATATTAGGGGTTTCCTGGGTCATGGGACTTTCAGTGCTTGTGTCAGAGGCGTGTGAACCAGAGCAACTCCATGTTAAATAGGAGCTGGGTAAAATCAGGCTGAAACCTACTGGGCTACATTCCCAGACAGTGAAGGCATTCTAAGTCACAGGATGAGATAGGAGGTCAGCACAAAATACAGGTCATAAAGACCTTGCTGATAAAACAGCTTGCAGCAAAGGAGCCAGCCAAAACCCACCAAAACCAAGATGGCGATCAGAGTGACCTCTGGTCGTCCTCACTGCTACACTCCTGCCAGTGTCACGACAGTTCACAAATGCCATGGTGACGTCAGTAAGTTGTCCTATGTGGTCTAAAAAGGGAAAGCATGAATAATCCACCCATTGTTTAGCATATCATCAAAAAATAACTGTGAAAATGAGCAACCAGCAGCCCTCGGGCCTGCTCTGTCTATGGAGTAGTCATTCTTTTATTCCTTTAATTTCTTAATAAACTCGCTCTCACTTTGCACTGAGGACTTGCCCTGAATTCTTTCTTGCACGGGATCCAAGAACCCTCTCTTGGGGTCTGGATCGGAACCCCTTTCCAGCGACACTTAAACCAGTAAAGTCCCAGGCAAACTGCAATGAGAATCATCCCTACAAAACATAAAGGGGACAGGGAGAGGATGGAGTGAGATAATTACAGGATCCTGGAGAAGGTAGAAAGGTTAACCTGGGAAAGAAAGACAGATATTTTTATACACCAATTTTTATGACACTGAGAAGTAATATCTTGGCACACAAAGGACAGATAGATTTATAAATCACAGAAACACACTCTCAGTAGCTCAATTAGCTTGGTGCAAGATTAAACTCTTGGTCTCTCTCTGCTGTGTAGAGCCTTCTGATCACTGACCTTCAGCTCTCTGTCCTCCAGCTTAGGTCAGGCTATCACTCTGTTAGACCTCAGTCCTGACAAATAGTTTGTAAAGCCAAAGCCACAGGCTGGTCTTCGCTTTGGCTCAAAACACTTTCCCAGATGCTACAAAATCCCCTAGAGCCTACTCACAGAAATTCCCAGAACTTGCCTCTCCTCCAAGGTCCTCCCAAGCATCTTCTGACTGTGTTTCTTACTCTTCCTAACAGGTAACAGTGTTAGTACATTCATTACCACCAATTCACAGTTGGCTGCCAGCTCCTGACAATGCCCTTTCTGAAACCTCAAGCCCTCAAGAGGGCTCCCCAGGCCTTGGGAGGAAGCACTCACGTCTGCAGTATGTGCCATTGTGTGCACCATCTTTCTCCCTGTTAGATATGAGTTCTAAATTTATTTTCAAAGAATCAATATGTCAGTATGTTTAATTCTTTGCCTTCTACTTTTAAACTTAACTTCCTTGTAAAGCAAACTTTTTCGATTACCTGCTGCACCCTGACTCATTCCGATTACCTGCTCCACCCTGACTCATTCCGATTACCTGCTCCACCCTGACTTATTCTGATTACCTGCTCTGTCATAACCATTTTTCCTGCCAAACCACTCACCCCGTCACTGTCTTTAAATTAGCCAATCAGAATTAGTTTAGCCTGTGTGGTCTAACCCAAGCCAATAGGGGAAAGACACAGCAACAGGGGCCACGTGTGTCAGGGATAAGAACCCCTTCCCCTCCCTTGTCCAAGTGTGCACTCACCATTGCTCCATCTGTAAGGGTGCATCCTTCTATAGAAGTAAGTTGCCTTGCTGAGAATTGAAAAGAGAATTTTGTATTCGAGTGCTATTTCTTTTGTGGCACCAAAACTTTATTTATAACATCCCCTCCTACCCAGCCGCTTCCCAGTAGAGCCCACATTCTCAAATCCCTTTGACGCCTCATCCTACCCAGCCTCTCCCCATCCTGGAGCCACTTTTTGTAACAGTGATTTCTCAGGAGAAGTGTTGAGGCACACAATTTCTTTTTAGTACATCTTTTCTCAGAGTTTAGGAAATTCTCCAAACCTGAAATGCCTCTCCCCTTTCAGTAAGGAGGTAGATACAAACAGGCATCTTGAAAAGATAAAATCAGAGGATCAGTGGATGGCTCCTGGCACTGCTGCTATTAGCCCCGTGACTCTGAGTAGGTAACTGGAGAACTCTGAATCTTCATTCCCTCATCTATAAAACAGGCATTGTTGCGATCTGATTGTTTGTGTCCCCCCAGAATTTATATGTTGAAACCTAACCACCAATGTGATGGTATTAGGAGGTGGGGCCTTTGGGAGGTGATTAGGCCATGAGGGTAGAGCCCTCACTAATGGGATTGGTGTTCTTATAACAGAGGCCCAGAGAGCTGCCTGGCGCCTTCCACCACGTGAGGACTATGAGCCAGGACATGAGTCTTCACCAGGCACTGAATATGCCAGTGCCTTGGACTGTCTCGGACTACCTAGTCTCCAGAAATGTGAGAAATAAATTTATGTTATTTATAAGCCATCCAGTCTATGGTATTTTGTTATAGCAAGCCAAATGGACTACTGAGAGACAGGACTAGCTGGTTTTCCTAGGCCGACTAAGAATTCCTAAGCCTAGCTGGGGAAGGTGACCACACCCACCTTTAAATACAGGGCTTGTAACTCAGCTCACACCCGGCCAATCAGGTAGCAAAGAGAGTTCACTAAAATACCAGTTAAGCTAAAAGCAGGTGGTAAAGAAATAGTCAATCATCTATCGCCTGAGAGCACAGCGGGAGGGACAATGATCAGGATGTATAAACCCAGGCATTCGAGCCGGTGATGGCAACCCCCTTTGGGTCCTCTCCCGTTGTATGAGAACTCTGTTTTCACTCTGCTAAATCTTGCAGCTGCACACTATTCTGGTCCGTGTTTGTTCCGGCTCAAGCTGAGCTTTCGATCGCCATCCACCACTGCAGATGGCCACCCTCGCAGAGCCGCCGCTAACTTCCACCCCTCCAGATCCAGCAGGGTGTCCGCTGTGCTTCTGATCCAGCAGGGCACCCATTGCCGCTCTTGATCAGGCTAGAGGCTCGCCATTGTTCCTGTGCGGTAAGTGCCCAGGTTTGTCCTAATCGAGTTGAACACTAGTCTCTGGGTTCCACAGTTCTCTTCCGTGACCCACGGCTTCTAATAGAGCTATAACACTCACTGCACGGCCCAAAGTTCCATTCCTTGGAACCCGTGAGGCCAAGAACCCCAGGTCAGAGAACAAAAGGTTTGCTGCCATCTTGGGAGCTCTAAGAACAAAGACCCACCGGTTACATTATGACAGATATATAATGTGTATCTCCAACTGTTAGCCTACTTATCAAATTAGAAGGGATAAATAAAAACAGACTGTCAATTCTCAGGCCCATTCTAAGAATTCTTATGTCCATTCTATAAGTAAGTTAGCAGCACCAAAAGTAACAATGAGGTGGGGTAAAGTGGCTCACAACTAGCACTTTGGGAGGCCAAGGTGGGAGGACAGCTTGAGGCCAGGAGTTTGAGACTAGCCTGGACAACATAGCAAGATCCTATCTTTACAAAATTTTAAAAAATAGCTAGGCATGGTGGTGCACACCTGCATTTCCAGCTACACAGGAGGGTGAGGTGAGAGGATGGTTTGAGCCCAGAAGACTGAGGTTACAGTATGCTGTGGTCATGCCACTGCACTCCAGCCTGGGCAACAGCATGAGGCCCTGCAAGTTAATAATAAGTTAACATAAATATTTGTTGGATAGATGAATAAATGAATGAATGAATACAGGATTGCTCAGATCAGTCAGACCCGTGGAGAACCTTAACATCAGTCAGTGCTAACAATGTGGTTATAAAAACCAGGCCAAGCAGTCACAAGTTCAAGAGCCCATGGTGGTGGAAATTTGAAGTGACTCAGTCAGTGGACACGAAGAGAGGCAACGTGTCAGGTCACCAGGTAGGAAGCATCAGCCATAGAGGGTGCTTGACAATGGAGAAAACACTGACGCCAGTGACAAACCTCTTGAATAGGAAGCAAAGGCCAGGGTAAAGGGGCATGGTAATCATCCTAGAATCACATACACAGGGGTTGTTGGCACCAGAAGAGGACACATGAACCATTTTGTCTGAAGATTCAAACTCAAATGGAAACATGTGAAGTAGATGGCTCTAAGCCAACGAGCCACGCTGGACTGGTAGTGAGCAGGAGATTGCTTGCCCTGGTAGATAAAGGCATTCAAAAATCAGCTACAGACAAAATCTTTTGCCAGCCAAACAAAATAAAGATGATGAAACCGGTTCAGAAATACAAGTGCCTGCCAGTTAATGACAGCCCTGTTACTGGAACCTAGGTCTTCCGACTCCTAAGCAAGACATTGTCAAGACAATGAGGGAGGAAGGAGGGTTTGTGGAGGAGCCAGCTCCAACACAGATCGGCCCTTGAGCCTCAGCTGCAGGTGGGCTTCTGAGCACTTTCAGAACCAGCTTTGTTCTAATGCAGATTCCGAAAGAAGGAATCTTTTTTTTTTTTTTTTTTGAGATGGAGTTTTACTCTTGTTACCCAGGCTGGAGTGCAATGGTGCTAGCTCCGCTCACTGCAACCTCCGCCTCCAGGGTTCAAGTGATTCTCCTGCCTCAGCCTCCCTAGTAGTTGGGATTACAGCTTTTTTTTTTTTTGTATTTTTAGTAGAGACGGGGTTTCACTATGTTGGCCAGGCTGATCTCGAACTCCTGACCTCAGGTAATCCACCCGCCTCGGCCTCCCAAAGTGCTGAGATTACAGACGTGAGCCACTGCGCCCGGCTAGGAATCTTATAAAAAGGAATGGGAGATGAAAGCCCAAAGTCGTGGAACCAGTAGAAGGATGTAACTCTCAATAGATAATTAGAAAGAGAGAGACAGAGAGAAAGAGAGAGACTAGCTCTCAGGGACAACCAACAATCAGTCTCTCAGCATTTTTGTGAAATTTGTCATCTCCGGTGTGGTGAACACTAGAAATAATCAGAAGACCACGTGGGAACAGGAACAAGGAGGCCTAGCCACAGGACACTGCAGCCAACAGATCCCACACCTTCATCCTTTCATCCAGAGTCTGTTTCTCAAGTGCCTGCTATATTCCACGCACTCTGCCCGGTGTTGGGGACACAGTGGGGAGCAAAGCTGGCCTGGCCTGGGCCTCAGGGTCACTCAGAGTCTATTGAAAACACATTTCCTAAATACAAACCTGCACGTTGTGCACATGTACCCTAGAACATAAAATATAATTTAAAAAAACAAAAAAACACATTTCCTCTCAGCTCCACCCTTTAGTCCTTATGTGACTTAGACCCGGTTGCTTAACTTCAGTGAACTTCAGTTTCCACATTTGTGAGATGGAGAAAATAATATCTGTAGTGAGAGAACGTAACACGACCTACATAACGTGTCTATCACAACAGCTTCTCCTCTACGTTCTGTTACCTAGGATTTCACATAAATTAATGCATTCTAAAGAATGAAGCTTTTCAAACCTGAAATGGAGCATCTTAACTTCGCCTGAATTTGCTACTCCTTATTCCAGGACAAGACAAAAACAGGACCATAACTTATGAGTGGAGACAATGAATATGTTATCAATAGAAATGTACATTTCAAGATAATGCAAATCCTGCTTCCCAGGGTCCAGCATATACCTCCCTTTCTCACCCCGTGGGCCAAGGAAGGGCTGGCGCCATCTTGGACCATAAATCATTGCAAAACAGTTCCTGGAGGGCACAAACCCCCAGGGCAGAACCTTCCACACAGCTAAAGAATTTCCTGCCAAAACAGATAAGAATTTCCTGTTTTGCTTTTCATTATTACTTTAAATAATCCCATTCAGAGTCTTGAAGGAGGATGGTGAGCAACAGGGGCTGGAAGGCATGTCAACATCTTTTCTAGATAAACTCAGGATGATAGTAGTGGCTTTGGAAATAGCTAGTTGAGACCTGGTCAGAATACACAAAATGGCTGGTGGAAACTGAGTCTTCTCCAGAAGGAACAGTTGATGTCAGCCTCGTTATTCTATAGACCCTGAACCTCAGGATCGGGGATTTCCATCTCTGTCCAGTGGAGACAGGGGCTTCTTCAGTCACCCACCCACAGCAAGCACTTGGAGTCAGAGCTGATAAGTCCATCACCTCCTTTTGGCTCTTCTCCCCGTCTCTCAGAAGCCATCAGCCTCAGCATGGAGAACAGGTGACCCGAAAATGACCCTTTAGAGAGATGAACAGCTGATGAGCCAGGTCTCCTTTGGCACTGGACTTTACCCATGCCTTTCACCATGATCCCAGGCCAGAGTGTCCTCTTGTCATGGCCTTTGAGTTCAGGAGGGAGCACCACAGGCTCTCCGTCTACTAGAGGGGCAGAGATACCATTTCCTTTCCCAAGAAAGCCCCCTTAGAAAAACGTATGTCAAGGCAGTTCTAGGCAACTCCCAAAAAAATCACCCCTGCTTCTTTGGGATGCTAAGACCACTGCATGTATCTGTGCGTGCTCAGAAAACATAGGCTGGACAACTCAAAGATCCTCTCATAGTCTTGTTCCTGGACCAAACTGAGAGTCTGGCTGCTTATTCTAATAAGCTGCTTATTCGTTATCATTCTAATAACAATGAGATACAGATGAACTGGAAGCAAAAGTTTTTATTTCTGTAACTGGTTATAGGAAGAAGGCTGGAAATTCTCCTTAGACCAACTCAAAATTAAAAGTTTTCCAGAGCTTATATACCTTCTAAGTTACATGTCTACATGTAAGTGTGCATTCATCTAAACACATAAGTGATTAAATTCTTTTAATATATAACTGAGGTCTGAGTCTTGAAGACCTTTCTCTGGAGCCTCAGTAAATGTACTTAATCTAAATAGGTCCAGGACTTGTCTCCTGCTAAATCATGCATGTTTGGGGAGTTCCTTCTGACTCCCGATAAATGTGTTTGTGGAGGCCTGGGGAGTTTCTTCAGACCCCCAATAAAACTTGTTTAATCCTAAGAGGGTCCCGTTAAGAATTCCTTCATTATCTTGTCATCCTTCAAGGCCCAGGAAAGGCCTAGGCAAAATTCTTGATGGGCTTTTGTTACATTCTAGCCTGTGTAATAGGGCACTGACTCTTTCAGATTTTAATATCTAACTTCACCACTCAGTCAGTGCTGAAACAGTTGTGATGGAGGCCTGCCTTAGTGAGACCTGGCCTGCCACAGTCTCCCTAGTGGTCTGGGGGACACTGGCTTGAATTTCATATCCGGAAGGACTGCTTCAACCCAACTGCATACTCCAGCAACCCGTTCTCCTCTTCTCCACATTCCCATGAAGAGAGGAGGGAATGAAGAGACTCACTGGTCACCTTGAGAACTCGGCACTTCTCACCACACCCCTCATCCCAAACCAGCTCCCCATCCTGACTCCCTGCTTTCTGCAGATGACACTCCTTTTTTCCAGGCATGGGGACTCAAATCTTCCAGCTTGTCTTCATTCTTCCCTCTTCCTCTTTAGATAACATCAACTGGTCACCAAATTGAGGCCACATGTCAATGGTGCCAAGACCTGTGCTAGGTTCTTTCCCATGTAATTACTCTTGCATTTGTTCTATTTCCCCTGCTGCACCTGTCCTAAAATAAAGCATCAGGGCTTAGGGCCTTGTCACCTCTCCCCAAAGGATAGCAGTGGCCTCCTGGTCTGCCTACTCCTTTGTACTCTTCTCACCTCTTCTCTAGAGCTGCTGGTGCCATCCCACACTCTGCTTGATAAGCTCACAAACCAGCTCAGAAATTTCACGGCCTGGTCAGGCACGGTGGCTCACGCTTGTAATCCCAGCGTTTTGGGGGGCTGAGGCGGGCGGATCACTTGAGCTCAAAAATTTGAGACAAGCCTGGGCGACATGGTGAAACCCTATCTCTATTAAAAGTACAAAAATGAGCCAAGCATGGTGGTGCACATCTGTAGTTCCAGCTACTTGGGAGGCTGAGGCAGGAGAATTACTTGAACCTGGGAGGCAGAGGTTACAGTGAGCCGAGATCAGTTATTGCACTCCAGCCTGGGTGACAGAGGCAGACTCCATCTCAAAAAAAAAAAGAA